CTCGCCGACACAAAAACGCGTGAAGCAATGCATAGATGTTAGTCTTTCACAATCGACATTCTTGCACTATATGAAGTACAATTCTATGGATTCCAGTCAAATTTTATTGCAATATAACTTCAGTGATATTTCAAAGTAGCCTTGCGATTTGACCATATCCCGCAATTCTTCCATCCTGCAATTGGATGCTCAAATTTCTGGGGAGGTCAACTTGCGATTTGACTCCTGTCCCACAATTTGACCCAAATAATAAAGGAAAAAAATTAATTTGATGTTGACTCACAATTTGACCACTTCACAATTCAACCCTAGTCCAGCAATGGATTAGAGTCAAATTGCAGGGCACCACCTGTATGTTCTACCTGAACAAAATAATCTTGACTGCATATATTTCTTGGCAAGGAGATGTAAATCAACCAAAGGCGCATATGTCTGCTCTTTATCGAACTTTCCTGCCTGTTTGTATACACTGTAGCTTGGCAAATTAAATCAGAGGAAGGAAAAAATGGTACAGTGAAATTGGTTGCGTGTACTTCGTTCCGCTACGTTGCACCAACACAGTATACACCTAAACGCGATAGAATAGAGCAAAACACCGGGTTCTGAGGGATTCGTTCCAGGGGTAAACCCTTGGTCTGCTCACTATTACTTGGCAGACGACGGTTGGTCTCATCCATCACTGCGAGACGCGCCCACCGTTTCACGTATCCCAAGGATCCCTGTTTTTCTTTCTTTCTCGGGCTTCACTCCATAAATACAGGGCAACACTGAGGTGGCATTTCGTGCGCCAAAGTGAAGTATGCTATCCGAGTTTTTCGAAGTCTTTTAGAGTCGAACTAATAAAGCAAAACCTCAAGCTAGACACCCTCCACGCACGATAAGAAGAATGCGGGAATTCACTTGGACAACTCGCGGCCTCCTCGAAATGATCTCGTTATTGAAAGAAAATTCAAAATGCAACCCATCAGAAAGTTTCTTATTCATGCCTTGCTTGACCAAGTCATTCAATTTGACCCAAAAGTTGAACAAAAAGTATCCTTGCAACGTGACTCAAGTAATGTCCAACATAATCAGGGTATCTGATTGCGCATATACGGTAAAATTTAAGGACGGGCATGCATGTGGACGATGACTTGCTCGTCAATATTTAGGTAACGTCATTCAAATTATCTCTAGCCGCATCCGCAATAAAACTTGGTCAAGTTAAGCGTATTGATCATTCACGCTTTCGATCACTCACGACTTTCAAATATCGGGCAAGAGGATCATGTCGTCTTCCAAAATACTGGAGAATCCATTTTACAAAAACTTCATTTCTCGGGCAACCATCGCCGTCGAAAATATTTGTGAGTTACAGTATTTTTGGGGTTGAAATAAAATAGGGCTTCAATAAACTGGAAGCGTAGCCCTTGTGTTCTGTTTTCAAATCGTGAGGTGTAATACAGCGGAGCCTCTTTGAGACGATCTTGAGGGATCTAGCTAAAACTTAAATTTTAGGGAGTTTTCAAGTTTGGGAAACAAGCATGTTCGCCAAGGGAAAGAAAAAAGAATGACATGCAATTGTAATTTTTGATATTCTGGGCCTTTGCTTCTCAAATGAGATGACAGGATGCTGACCGTGGATGCAAGGGTTTTTCTGCCAATTCAGTCTTTCATTTCTTTTCAGAACACATCCAGTTATATTTTTACTGTGATTTTCTCTCCTAAGTCAATACAATAACATTCAGAAGACCTCCAGAAAATTTGAGTTAGGGAGAGCATTGAGGGAAGAAGAATTGAGTTAAAGAGGTTTTCAATTCATTTTTTCTAAAGAAAAATCCTAAAGAGACCCCATAAAATGGGACATAGCAGTTGGAATTTAATTGCATTGTTAGTATGGAGAAAGGTATCCAGAATTTATTTATTTCAAAACTTCAGCCATGATATGACATTCAACAAAACAAATTGATGATTGATGAATTCAATTTTCACAAGTGTCCAAGCAGTGTAATTACAGCAGCATAAATTCATTGGTTAATGCATCACCAGAGCACCTTCTTTTCTTAAGTCCAGCATTCCACAGCTACACAAGTGAGCTTCAAAAAGATTTGGGACTGTCACAATTTGATGTAAAGATTCTTTCTGTAATATTAGAGGACAAAGAGAAATTCTTAGTTTTATATAATTTCTCCACAAAGATTTTCTCAAAATTGTTCACTCAACTAAAACCAGCGCTTATACTAGCAGGGAGCAGGCTGAACACCTGTTGCTTTAATTTGTGTTCAGTAATTTATGTTTGCTGTAATTTTATTACTGGTACTGTTACTTTCTTTTTGTTAACTATCGGAGGGTGGGGGAGGGAGGTTATTCAGATCAGTTGTGCATTTGTACATTATATGATTTATTTTTTTTTTTGTAATACACATATACAGTATAGTGCATTCCTCTACTTTACATCTTGATGTGATGGAATGAGTTTAGATGGATGTGGGTGAGGAGGGAAGGGTCTGTGGATGTGGGAACATTATTTGAACATTGTGAATGCTGAAAAGCAGAAAATAAAGCTTGTTCATTGATCAATTGATCAAAGACGCCGAATATAGTAGAATTGAACTGGGCAATGATGCCGAGCTTTGTTTATGCAGGCGACTCCAGTATTTGGGATGCTTTTTCGTAACGCAATCGAAAGCGAAAAGATTTTCAGAGATGAAATTGGAAATTTCTGCTGAAAGCCAAGATACGCGTACTACTTCCGTGCTTCTGTCTTGCAGAATGAATTGGCAGGTTACGTGAGTTTTTCCTTTCCCTGTTTCCCTCGCTTTGTGTTCCTGGCGCTTGGCTGTCCAGATCCGTCATTGTTTCCCCGTCCCCTCTGCTCAAAACCCATTTCATTTCCCGGGATCCTAAAAATTTAATTTCCAACCCCGCGATCGTACCCGGGGATGATCAATAGCGAGCGAGGGAACAAAAGTTATTGTCGGTCGTAAAATACTCGCGAGTTTTTTTCTTCTTCTTCTTCTTCTTCTTCTTCTTTTCGTTCTGTTTCTTGCAACGATCCTCGCGCAGAATTTCACCAAAAAACGTCCATCTTATTCGAAGGAATTGTTCAGCGAATGCAGCAGGCAAAGTTCGAGGCCCAACTGTACATGCCATACGGAGTCGCGATGCTTTCCACGTTTCAAGAGAATTAAATTTGAATGAATTTGAGGACACACAGTATCGGGCATCATCCCTTCTTCAGTGCAGTTCATGAGATGCTGGGGTCTCGATCTCAAAATGCTGAATGTGTGATAGAGCAGAACTGCTTCTGACTCACGAGCGCACATATGTGGCACACTTGAAAAATGAAATGTCTCAAATAATTAACTCACCGGGTTCCGTCAAAGATGAAGGTGTGATTGAAGGTCCAGAAATGCTTCCCACTCGGATTTCCTTCATGCACGCATTGTAGAACAGCATTGTGGTTCAAAGGAATCGACGTTTGTGCAATTGTTGCATTGGTCACAGGGGGAACTGAGAAAATATAACGTCATGCGGGCATTCGCATCATTTTCGAGTGTATTGCAATTATTTCTGTGCTTGAAATTGACTAAGGAGTAAACATTCTAATCTCTTTACTCCAAAAGGCAACGGCATATCTAATTTTAATACTGTCTTTTGGCATCACACAATACTGCATCAGAATTTTTTGTAAACAATTATCTGTAGCTTATTATAGAGCGTTTATTACCTCTATATATTATAGAGCGTTTATTACTGTTCACCAGGCTAAAATAGAGTAAGATCTTGTCACTCTGAACTCCAAAGGACCTGAGACAATTTATTTCGTGATAAAACTTCGTTCACCGAGATTCTTGCTTCTTCGAGCATGTTAGGACTGAAACTTTGCGGGAATCAGGTCAAACATATGTTCAAGTACCTTCCCAATGGAAAATAACAGCATGTGGAGATTTTCCCATGCACATTTTTAACTTCTTCCGATAAAATAATACAGACAATTCTGACTTTCCCTTCCATTATTATTTTCAAGTATACTGATCTCACTGAAGTATAAGCTGAAGCAAATAGAAAATACTGTACATACGTGAGCAGATCATTATTCTTATTATGAACTAAGTTTTTCCTGAAATATGGGTCAGTATCCTCCCAAACATGCTTCTCTCCCAAAAACGCAGCCATTTCTAATTCTAAAATGAAGCTATTAATACGTACATTCTGATTAAAGCTTCATACTTCCTGCATTGCTAGATTTTCGATACGAACAGAAGCTCTACTTTTAATTATAAACTGCATAACTGCATACCAAAATATATTTATAACAAGAATCATATATTGTAATACATTTTTTTTCTTAGCTTATTGTAACCTGTTGGCGACTTGTACACTGAACTACAGGAATATTTAACGACATAACAATATACAAATACTGTATGATTTGTGTGATGAGGAGCTAGAAAATGTGAAGATCAGAAATGAAATGAAAATCCTAAAAAGGAAACTATGCTAACCTCCTGGTTTCCTTTAGAATTAATGAACAGTACCTCTCGCTTATGAAGTAAAAAAATAAAGCTTCATCCGTGAAAAACTAACTCTGACGAAACGTAAAGATTTCCACCATCAAAATTTTGCCCGTTTCTTTATGTGATAGGAGCCGAAATTTGCTGAATCAAGCTGCGAAAATAGGGCTATGATTACTTTATTAACAGAGGAGGAGTTTGAAGGGACCTCATCATTCAGTGAAAATTTGGTTTTTGGTGTAATGACGAGGAAATGAATCTCACACAGAATGTCGACCAGGATACGCTTGCTGACCGATGGTTGGATCCCATTTTTGGCAATGCACAAATACGCCGCCATGTCCCAGCGAGAAACGTTTTGGAGCAAAAGACGCCTGCCTCGAGCTTCTTGTACTGTGTATGCCGGGAAATTCAAGGAAAATGTTTTTAAAAATGTAAAATTTTCAAAACAAGTCAAACTTGTTATCGTTCATCGTAATAAAAACATGGTCTATTACCGAGGACACCGTCTTCAAGCTTGATCGGTCGTTCGTCCTCCCTTTTCCAGAAAATCTCGGGATGCGGCTTCCCATAGGCTTCGCATTTCAGTTCCACACTGGAGCCTTCATTCAGGGAAACTGATGAAGGTGAGCTCTTCTTGTCGATGATTGATGGAGGTACTGCGAGACGAATTAAAAGCAAATGAATTTCTCGACTCGGAGATGGAAATAATCTTGGCGTACAGATCGATGACCCAGCCCGAGTCATCCGAGGCAGCAATGATTATAAGTGAGAACAGTTTCTGTGGACGTGGATCGTAAAAAATAAAGCTCGATCATCGGGATTCACGATTAATAAGTATTTCTCGTCAGAAGAAATTTAGAAGGAAATTAACCTTTCGTTTTCGATGGTGTCATGAGCTCAAATAACAAAGTATCCACGATTTTTGCTTTGAAACGCGACGACGAGGAATATCTCCTCCTGTTGTCAAAATTAACTTTGGGTTGATGAAATCAAAAGCATAAACGGCTGCCCCAAACGTTTTGGCTTCTGCAGATTTTGCAGATTCTTCCAGAATGTCATCATGTTTCTTAAGTTTCAACTAAAATGAAGATCAAAGGAAAACACAGAATGCCACGGTAAATATTTCTTTGTTGAAAGACTCGAGTTTTTCGTTTTTGTCCGTGCTGATGTTGAAATTTGCATAACATGTTGAAATTTTCATAAGTTTTTCCTGAAATTTAACGGTGTTTCCATGCAGGTCATGTGAACTGAAAGTTTTCAAAATCATCACGTAAACTCAAGTCATGAGGCGTGCGTTATATTGTGAAGGAGAAAACCCGCCGATACATTTGTCATCATAATTAGCTCTTATCATCAGATTGTATGTGCCTGTTTGCTTCGAACAGCCTTTTTCACTCAACCCACTTGATTAATTGTCTTTTCATAGCATATATTTGTCTTTGCATCACTCAAGAGTATCGCCTAACATGCAATAATACGTACATAAAAAATTCAAAGAAAAAAAGGTCGAAAATCTTTCGTATGCGCTTTTGCACCGCAAAAAATCTTTCACATTTTAATATGGTTTCACACGTTTTTCAAATACTCGTATGCTATGGCAATCATGGTATGATAATATGAATGTTTAATCCCATTCCTAGGGCAATTTGTGTTTGAAACGCTTCAAACTGAGCAGGCTACAATATATTTTATTCTAAAACTGGATCAAGTGTCTGTGGAAGAAGTATATTCTTGATGCTTTCCTATCAATCCACGCATTCGTCGTCTGGTGAATCCGGAACCCTGGCATTTGTACTAAAGTATTCATTTCTCTACAGCAACTGCGATCAGGAGCTACACCAGCTCAAGTGTACATTACGACGATTTATTGCGAGTAATGTGAAGGATAGCAAAATAAACTCTTTCTGGAATTTTTTCTAAAACTTGGATTACATTCATTTCTCGACTTTAGAAATGCTCGTAACAACGAAATAAAACGAAGCAGTTTGTTGTTGCATAACCACGTCTGCAACTTCTTTCTTCTGGCATCTAATTTGGAATTCAACATATACGACGCATTCTAATTCTGTCGCAATTATAGAGGGACTCGTAACATGAGCAGCATTCAGTCACTAAATCCTACTGCACATCATCCGTTTAATCATAATTCAGAAAATATCAACGAGAAGAAAAAAATATTTCCGAAGAAAAAACTGGCGATTCTTCGGTCCTGGGATCAATCATACTTCAAATGCCATGCATGTGAAAATTTTGCACAGTCCAGCATATGTTGTCATGACGGGCTGACCTTTTTTCCAAAATTATTTGCCAACTGAATAAACACAGATAGTTGAATAATTCCCTCGCAGTTTATGATCCGAGTTTCAAATGCTTCTCTGTAGGAAAAGTCAACACAGAAAAATCAACCGCACAGTAAAAGTTACATTTACCATATTTTTACTACATTATACTTCAAAATGTATTACATCTTTGGAAATTGTACTTTTCTTCACGAGATTATTCGACTTATTCACTGCTGGTTTTTATATCTCGAGGCACATGCCACAACTGTTCAGCTTGGGAACATAGTACTTTTTTATCTCGATTTTGAAAATAAAAGTATTCCGAAATAATTTTACCTACGACCTGGATGTAGCAGACCTGGTCCATCTGCGGACTGGTGTTCAATTGGCACATGTAACCCCCGCCATCTTCCTCTTGCACATTGATAATATGCAAATTCCATTGTGTCCTGTCGTGCTCAAATGTCAAATTATATTTTGGAATCCTCGCTGCCATGGTGTCGTCAACGGTGAGCACCATGTTTCTCTCCAAATGAATCCACGCCACCTGCGATGAAATAGGTTGAAAAAAGTGATGAAACGCTCTTTCAGGAGTTATGTAATCCTGTATGTTGTTTTCCAACTTTAAACTCAATAGCGACCATGAGACAAAAGAGGCGAAGTGAGGGTAAAACGTTGATGATACCCAAAGAGCTCGAAGACTCACAAAACAGGCGACGCGTTTTTGCGGAGTGAAAAAACAATGCTTCTTAATTTTCCATGGCAAGGTTGAATTTAGGTTTTTCCATTTTAAATTTTCTTGAATTTGCAGGGATCGATAAGGAGAATTCATGTACACTCTGGGCAATGTTCCAGTTGAAAATTTCTCAAGGATTCCACGAGTTAAAACAGCAGAAATGATCTTGGTGGGAAGGTGGACAATCTGTTGCAGGAATAAATTCATTCATGCGTTACAAAATTAGCTTTTTGAATTCACTGTTTGCACCAGAAGCTTGTGTATCAGTGAGAATAGATTCTTGGGTGGAGGTTTCCCTAATTTTCATTTAAAAAATGAGGCTTGGAAAAATTAGAATTTCTTATGATCCATTAGTTGGATCCATTTTTATATGATGAAAGAAAAGTTTGACAACATATTTTTTGCTTCAAGTTAGAACCGTTGGATTTTTGTTGGTCGAAAGTTGGTGGAGTTGAGTGCTTCAAAAGTTTGCATGTTGTCAGTTGTACCATATGCAAAGCCTTTTTTTTATAAAGCTGTTTTTTATTTTGGAAGTTTTTATTCCACAATGCAAGAAATAATTGTTGACCAATTCGTTGCAGAGAGAGCCCACCTGTACACCTGTACTCAGTTGTTTGATCCCTCCGGCAGTTTCAAAGTTAACTGTTTTGTGTCCAGATTTTGAGTTTGCGTATTTTTTTGAATGCTGATTCAAGTACAGGAAACATTTTGATGAGTCATTTAAATGTATCTTGGATAAATAAGCTTTTCCCCTTTTGTTTGAAAGGAGTACATAAGCAGAACAGCTAGTTGCATGAATGCTGGTTGGATGAAAAACCAGCTTTTCGCGCCGATTTCACTTTTTTGTAAGCAATTTTCTTCTTGCGATAATCAATGTGACACGAACCTCAACTCCAAGTTCCCAATATGTTTCTTGTTCTATCCTGTCCATTGAAAAGGTCAGAACATAGCATGAAAGATCAGCTTCCGGCTCTGATTTCGTTTTTTTCATGCAATTTTCTCATGGGATAGTGGATTTGACATGTTGGACCTTGAACTGACCAGGTTAGCAATGAGTTTCTATCTTGTCGATTCTGATGCTGTCCATTCGGAAGGTTCTGCTGACCTTCCGAATGAACAGCATCAGAATAAAAAAAAAAAATCGAAAACCTAACAAAAAAAGAAACGCTTGGATGCAATGGGGGAGATGTTGCCCTTTTTCAAACTGCATGCTATGGCAGAAGATCTTGAACGTGCTTTCGCCGGCTAAAAGCAACCGTCAAAACACAGAAATAAAAAGTGGGTTCGAGGAATGAAGGAAAGAAAGTCAGTCGACGGGTGTATGCAGATACGTTTGATGTAATTCAGCCTGAAACCATTCTCGTCTTCTCCGTCATCATATGATGCCCTCTCAGTCCGTGACATTCGCTCGTGCGAAAGCAGCAGCCCGTTGATAACCCCTCGGGACCAGGGTTGAAACCCATATAAGAGTCTCCTTGACTTATTCTCGTGGTGGAGGAGCGAAAATTTGTCCCCCCAAGTTGCCGCGTCAGTTCAGTTGTGACTTGTGATACGGGAGATGAGTAGCTTCGGGGGCTTTTTTCTCGGCGAATCTCCCTGTTTAGTGTGTGCTCAGACCCGGGGACACCTTTTCCTTCCTTCTTGACTGTACCGTAAATTTTATAAGGACGTGAATACAGTATACACAAAGCATGGTTTGAAGAGGCCACCATGAGGAAACATGTTTGCATTCGCGTTTGAGGCCACATTTCTTTTGTTACTACTGCTACTTACGATAGGGAGTGTTTTTTTTTTTAATTCAAAAGACTAGTTGAGTTTGGGGAATCAAACTGCCGATTAGCTTTCGGAATACGATAAGTTAGAACCTTTTGACTGATAGACTGATCTCTCTGTGGAAAATGGGACAACAATTCATCCCCATTCCGACTCACGAGTTACGAAAAAACTGTAACTTCTCAAATTTTGCTACAAAAGACGGCAAAACGCTGAATGAAGAGTTGTAACTGAATAATGTGAACTTCTCTAATTTGAAAAGCTGCATGTCAAATTTATTGAAGTGCATGTCTGAATTGCTTTAGAAGCAATGCATTGAAAACCTCCATACATATGACTTAAATGCTTTCCTCTCAAACCTGGGTAACTCAAGTTTCCTGAGGCATTTTAGGTTCCATTTTTTTAACACTGGAAACAGAAAATTAAAACAATGTTATCATGAATTTTGAAAGGGAATGAAAAACTAGATGGGAAAATGAAACCTTGCCTCAAAGTTCATGATCATGTTTATGCATTTTAAAAGCAAATGAATGCCTGGAATATCACCAGTTACAACTACAGTTGAACCCCGTTAAACCGCCCCCCAATTAACCGCCACCCTCGCTTCCCTCCACTTTTTCCTGGCAAACAAATCTTCCCAAGCTTGAAGGGATGGGAAAACCCCTTTTAACCGCCATCCGCCAACTGCCAATGTTTTCTGCCAAACAAACAGGATTTTGGCACTGATTTTCACCCCCATAAACTGCCAATTTTTCGCTCCTCTCTTCAAGGCTTTATTTTTCAGGGTAATATTTCTCAAGATTCCATTTCTTATCAAGTCCTTTTAATAATGTCTCTTGCACTGATTTTGTCCAGACTTTACAAAATTATCCACCAGCAGAAATTTGTTCCTGGTATCCCCACACATTCTCCAGGTCCCAATTTCTTCATTCTGTGCTTCTTGGGGGACATCCACCTCCCAAGCAATATTCCATAAACTGCCATAATTTTTAATTAATGAGCAGGTGCGCTCGGTCCTTTTAGGCCACCAGGGGCTTTCATGATTTTAGGGTCGTACATTAAGGGCATGATAACAATTCATTCATACAACTAGTATAATTACCAAATGTTTCATACTTTAGGTTTTTTCTATGGGGAAGAGTTACATGAAGTGATTTTAATCTTTTGTCCACCTTCAAGCATGTATATTAGAAATGCAATTTTCATTCGAGTTACTCATTGAAAAGTTGCCTGGCCAGAAACAAATATATCCGTTGATGGTCATGATGGAATTGGAAATCTAGGCATTCTAGGTATTATCTTGTGTCACATTGTATTGCCTTTCTTTCTGTGTTCTTTGAATTATTTTAATTGTATTTTTTGCAAAGCAACTGTTGTTTTAATCTTATATACGTTGGGGCTCCATGTGTGCTGGACTGGTTATTTTTGATTTTATCTGTAATGGAATCTGCCATTGTTTTGCATTTTTGATTTTATCTGTTACAGGATTTGCTATTGTTTTGCATAATGTTGCTTTGGTGAATTTTGCATTTGGAAATCATGAAATAGAGGCAGTCTCAGTAACAATAGCACATGGTTCATTGCTTCCCTTGGTTAAAACTAACATCCAACTCTAAGGTTTCAAAAGAGAACTTTCAACATATATTACTTGTGGGCTGCATAAATGCTCCTACACTTTTTTTTTACCTGAAATTTGGAAAAGTTTGCAATTTGTAGATAAAACAAGCCACGCGGAAGAAAGTAGAATTCATTCTTCTTGCTTTACTGCATCAAAAATGTTTTTTCTCTTCCCAGAAACCTCCTTATAAGTTCAATTTTTTCTTGGTCTCTTTAAGATCAACTTACAGAGCTTAGATTGTACAAAACAATATGGCCACATGAAAATCAATATTTGATTATCTTACAATAAAGATGCACGTGCATCCAGCTTGGCACAAATTTTTCTCATTGGAAAGGCCTGGATAACAATTACAGTGAGTGCATCTCAAAATTCATGAGATCTTGAATAAAGATTATTTTACTGAGAAATTCAAAGTATTTGTTTATTTATCTTTTTTCGTATTTTTTTCTGTAAGCATTCGAATGGTGAGTTCCTGGCGGATGTGGAACCAAAAATGAACGTTGATCAATCGGTGCCGCAAATCCTGAATACGACGATTTGATACTCTTTGTGCGATGCATGCTTGGGATCATTGTCAAAAATAAGGTGATTTTCCAACTTGACACTGTGCAAAACGGAAGATCAGTTGTTTGCCAAAAAAATAAAACCCCCAATGCACATTCAAGTTCGGCTCTTGTTCACATTTTTTGAAAAGTCTTTTCTTCATTTGAACGAATCAGGAATTGCAGAATAGACGTAGTCCCTGTAAATAGCCGACCAAAGATCCCATCAAGGAATGAGCGATAACAGTGCTTCTCCGGCGGCGGCTCAATTTCGAACGATATCCCTGATCCTTCTCATCCTCATCTACGTCCTTTTACCCCCCGTGAAACCCCCCACTCTTCTCTGGAGAATTCAGAGATTGCGTCGACTCAAAGTCGAGGCCCGACAGCCGTGTNATGGCCACATGAAAATCAATATTTGATTATCTTACAATAAAGATGCACGTGCATCCAGCTTGGCACAAATTTTTCTCATTGGAAAGGCCTGGATAACAATTACAGTGAGTGCATCTCAAAATTCATGAGATCTTGAATAAAGATTATTTTACTGAGAAATTCAAAGTATTTGTTTATTTATCTTTTTCGTATTTTTTTCTGTAAGCATTCGAATGGTGCGTTCCTGGCGGATGTGGAACCGAAAATGAACGTTGATCAATCGGTGCCGCAAATCCTGAATACGACGATTTGATACTCTTTGTGCGATGCATGCTTGGGATCATTGTCAAAAATAAGGTGATTTTCCAACTTGACCCTGTGCAAAACGGAAGATCAGTTGTTTGCCAAAAAAAATAAAACCCCCGAAGCACATTTAAGTTCGGCTCTCGTTCAAATTTTTTAAAAGTCTTTTCTTCATTTGGACGAATATCCTTAACGTCTTATCTGCATCAGGGACATTTATCGGCTGGTTTCTAGGGTAGTTCCTTACTCGCTATTGTCACGAAGAGGCCGCCGCCGAGTTAAAGCTTGCTATAGGGACTAGGAAGAGTAGGAGATCTACGTCCTTTTACCCCCCGTGAAACCCCCCACTCTTCTCTGGAGAATTCAGAGATTGCGTCGACTCAAAGTCGAGGCCCGACAGCCGTGTGCCGTTCTTGTCGCTTGTCGTACTGACGTTTTGACGTGCCTCTGTTTTTTCCGCTTCTTTCTTTTCTTCTTCTTATTCTGGCCCATCTATCGACGCTGTTACGTGAATCCCCCCCATGCTAGCAATTTGCTTGGAAGCACGGTTTTCTTCGCATGCATTTTTTGCTTAAATAAGCGAATTCAGAAATTCACTGATATTTTCTTCTGCAATGTCGAAGTATTCCAGAGAAGAGAAAGGTCCACGTTCAAAGCCTTCGATGCAAAACCTCGACAGTGTTCTTTGTTCTTGCGCGTTCTTCGTTGAATCCAAATATATCAGGTCAAACTTTTCGCAAGAAAATTCACTGATTCTATTCAACATTTCTTCTTGAAAACTATGTGTGTGAAGTTCGAAAGTTGATGGTAGTTTTCAGATAGTAGCAACATCCATCCAGCCATAGTTTAAATATAAATATTGTGTAGATGTGAAGAGGACAAAGATGCGATCTTGAACTGCAGCATACGCCAAATAATGTGAACAAAAATGTTCGCGGAATGACGAAAAAATTATTCGATTTGCAACGTAAAAAGGTGAGACTGCAATATCGAGTAATTTGGATACATCTTCAGGTCAAACAAGAAGGCAGCCTCACGACAAGAAACGGCAAATTTCGGAATTTTAATGAACAGTAGTTCCGAATTTGAATCATTCAATATCATCATTGACCAGTTATATTTCATGTTGTGATGTATTTTCTTTTTTTGGTATCAATTTGTGCTTTCATGCTCTGGAGTGATTAAATGTCATTCAGTGGATTTGGGTTGGGTAGGAAGGGGATGTGGTTGTGGAAATCTTGATTGAACCTTGTGAATGCTGAGAAGCGGCAAATAAAGTGTTCTGTTCATTCATTCATTCATTCATCATCATTGATC